CAGCTGCCTCTCTCTCTTTATAACTCTATCAGCAGTAATTGCCATGTGCCAGTCTAGCCCATTCTACGCGGGGGGATGAGCCACTCCACCATCTGGATTCTTCACTGGTTAAAGAATAAACTTAGCAGCATATTGACTTTTATTAAGCAGTTTAGATAGTCATCAGCCTGCTTTGAATAGAAATGAACAAAGTCGTACCATTTCTGCTGACAATTCTGAAACTTGTGGGGGATGATTTAGCATTTTTATCTCCATAGTTTGATTTTCAGTGGTAAAACACCCATTGGGTCATCTATAGGCAAAAGTGCAGATCAGTACAATACTTATGTGTATATGGTGAGCTAATCATTACATTTAAGTATATATTTATATATACAGTATATATTAGTAATCTGGGCTAGCTCTGGAATGACCGCCAGCCAGTTTGGTGAAAGCAAAACAGTTAATTTATTTGGATCACGGAAAAACAAAAAGACAGCTTACTTCAGCCAAAGTCTATAAACAGTCCAAAACCTGGTATCAGAAGCTAAACCACAAGCTCACTGTTAATCTTCAGTCCCATACAGGGGTTAGGCTCCTCTATAGTAAGGGTGCCAGGCAGGCCACATGGGGGGGGGGGGTCAGCAACCCGTGTCTCAGCTGTCTGTGAGCTCCCACTTGCCGCACGGCTTGTTAGTCTCTTCCCTGACACACCTGTTGATTTCTCTCTGCTGCCATTGAAGCCTCCCTCACCTGGGACTTAACCCCTTTGGGACCAAAGTCCTGGTAGTCAGGACCCTAATACAAATTTAACCATCTAGAGAGTACTGCAATGTCTCTACAATTGTCCCCCTTAACAAGACCACACCCCAAATATTGGGGAATGTATCTGCCATCCAGGACAAATTCCCGCTGTCCTGTACGTATCCCCCTTCTGCCTCGACGCAGAGGTGTCCAAGACAATGTGGGACACCCTACAGTGTACCCTAGAGAGGGCGTCCGTGTTTTGGTGTTGCTTTCCTGGTCTGTGTTCAACTACAAATCTGAACTGTTGCAATGCCAAAAACCATCTGGTAACTCTGGCATTCGTGTATTTATTCTGTCTCATCCAGGTCAATGGGGCATGGTCTGACACAGAAACTTCCTACCAAGAAGAAAATAGCGTAGTGACCCCACTTAATGGCCAGGCACTCCCGCTCCACCACAGCCTAATTTCTCTTGGCGGCTGTCAATTTTCTACTAAGAAAAAACTATGGGGTGTTCTTCCCCATTGATCTCTTGAAATAGAACGGCTCCTCCTAAGCTTTCACTGGAAGCATTGGTTTGAACAATAAATTCTCTCTAGAAGTCCGGAGCGACCAGCACATGGTACTGACACAAGGCTGTTTTAAGCTCCTGGAAAGCCTTCTCAGCCCTGTCAGAGAGCTCCCACTTGCCACACAGCTTGTTAGTCTCTCTCCCACTCACTTCCCTGACACACCTGCTGATATCCCTCTGCTGCCATTTAAGCCTCTCTCACCTGGGACTTAACCCCATTGGGACCAAAGTCCTGGTAGTCAGGACTCTAATACAAATTTAACCATCTAGAGAGTACTGCAATATCTCTGTAATTGTCCTCCTTAACAAGACCACACGCCAAATATCGGGGAAAAATATCTGCCTTACAGGACAAATTCCCGGTGTCCTGTACAATATATATATATATATACACTATGTTTCGAAAAGTATTGGGACGCCTGCCTTTACAGGCACATGAACTTTAATGTCATCCCAGTCTTAGTCCATAGGGTTCAATATTGAGTTGGCCCACCCCTTTTCAGCTATAACAGCTTCAACTCTTCTGGGCAGGTTGTCCACAAGGTTTAGGAGTGTGTCTATGGGATTCTTCCAGAATTGCATTTGTGAGGTCAGGCACTGATGTCGGACGAGAAGGCCTGGCTTGCAGTCTCCACTCTAATTCATCCCAAAGGTGTTCTATCGGGTTGAGATCAGGACTGTGCAGGCCAGTCAAGTTCCTCAGACTCGCTCATCCATGTCTTTATGGACCTTGCTTTGTGCACTGGTGAGCAGTCATGTTGGAACAGGAAGGGACCATCCCCAAACTGTTCCCACAAAGTTGGGAGCATGAAATTATCCAAAATGTCTTGGTATGCTGATGCCTTAAGAGTTCCCTTTACTGGAACTAAGGGGCCAAGCCCAACCCCTGAAAAACAACCCCACACCATAATCCCCCCTCCACCAAACTTTACACTTGGAACAATGCAGTCAGGCAAGTACCAGACATGTCCACCGGATTGCCAGAGAAGTGTGATTTGTCACTCCAGAGAACACGTCTCCACTGCTCTAGAGTCCAGTGGTGGCATGTTTTACATCACTGCATCTGATGCTGTGCATTTCACTTGGCGATGTAAGGCTTGGATGCAGCTGCTCAGTCATGAAAACCCATTCCATGAAGCTCTCTACCCATTGTTGTTAATTTGAAGGTCACATGAAGTTTGGAGGTCTTTAGCTACTGACTCTGCAGACACTTCATGGCTGAGTTGCTGTTGTTCCCAGTTGCTTCCACTTTGTTATAATACCACTAACAGTTGACCGTGGAATATTTAGTAGCAAGGAAATGTCATGGATGGACTTATTGCACATGTGGCAACCTATCACAGTACCACGCTTAAATTCACTAAGCTCCTGAGAGCGACCCATTCTTTCACAAATGTTTGTAAAAGCAGTTTGCATGCCTAGGTCCTTGATTTTATACACCTGTGGCCAGGGTGCTAAGTCAGAGGAATACGATGGTTACTCAAGTTTAGGAATGGATTTCTGGTCCAGGAACTCGAGAACAAATCATGCACAGGAGCATTGTCGTGGTGAAAAATCCACTTGTCAGGCCAGAGTTCCATTCTTTTCCTTCTAACAGATTCCCGTAATCTTTTTCAGAATTTCCAAGTAACTATGTTGTTTGCTCATTGTACCATGCTCTATTAACTCATAGTGAACTATTTTCTTGTGATCAAAAAAAAAAAACACACCAGCATGGTTTAGAACTGAGAATGAGACATGCGTGTGGATGAAATTTGAAGACGATGCTCTTTCTGATCCTCTGTCAAGATTCAAGGCACCACCATATTTGCGTAAATCTTTCTCATTCCCAAATTCTCTGTTAGAATTTGTTGCACTGTTTCCCTGTTCATGTTCAATTCTTCTGCCATCATTCGCACACTCAATATTTGATCTGAGCATACGAGGGTTCGCACTCTGTCTACATTTGCATCCATCCTTTGTGTTTTTGGCTGCCCACTTCTTGCATTATCATGGACATCCACTCACCTCTCCTTAAACCACTTATGCCATAATAAAACACCTGATTTCTTCATGGAATGTTCACCATAAGCCTGTTGTAACAAAGCTAAAGTTTCACTTGCACTTTTGCCAGTTTTCTCAAAAAATTTGAAGGAATTCCGCTGCTCCAGATTCCTGTCACTCATTCTCCACCAACAGTGCAACGCAAAAAAAAACACGTGTTATTTCTTCTACTACTCCATAAAGACTCAGTCAACTGGTCTTCAATGCAGGTGAGTGCAAGTTAGAACATGTCAGAACACACTCGAGTGTAAATGGCGGTGTGAATCACCACCAAAGTGGTACGCTGCTGGCAATTCGAGAATTAAATTGTTTAGCAAATGTGTATTTTTATCCTCAGCATACCAGTAAACGGGTTTTTATACCCACCACAGACCAGCAAGGGTGTATTAATACCATCAGAAGACCAGCATTTATATCCTGCACACCAGTAAAGGGGTATTTATACCCTCAACACACCAGCAAAGTGTATTATAACCCATTGTAGATCAGCAAATGTGTATTAGTACCCTTGGCAGAGTAGTAAAGGTGCATGTTTACCCTCCTTAGACCAGCAAAGGTGTATTGGTACCCTCGACACACCAATATGCTCTATAGTTACATAGTTAATCTAGTTGAAAAAAAAAAACCACAAGTCCATCTAATTCAACCCATAGAGAAAAACACAAATAGATAACCTTCATATATACTGTACAATACCCACAGTTGATCCAGGGGAAGGTAACACTAACCCCAATAAAGCATGATCCAATTTGCTCCAGCAAGGGAAAAATTCCTTCTTGATCCCACAAAAAGCAATCAATATTCCCTGGATCAATTTTACCTATATATAGCTTTTGAGGGAGTCTATTTCACAATTTCACAGCTATTACTGTGAAGAAGCCTTTCCGTGTTTGGAGATTAAATCTCTTTTCCTCCAGACATAAAGAGTGCCCCCTTGTTCTCTGTGATGACCTCAAGGTGACTAAATCTACACTGAGTTCACTATATGAACCACTGATGTATGTATATAACCCCCTTAATTTCCTCTTCTCAAGAGAGAATAAATTCAATTCCTCTAATCTTTCCTCATAGCTGAGCTCCTCCATGCCTCTTATCAGTTTTACTAATGATTTGTACCGGGGTAATATGATATCTCTCTCTCTGGAGTCTATACCTCTTTTAACTACTAGCCTACCGGGCACTTATACCCCCTTCCTGCCCAGGCCAATTTCCAGCTTTCAGCACTGTCACACTTTGAATGACAATTGCGTGGTCATGCAACACTGTACCCATATGAAATTTTTTGCATTTTTTTGTGACAGATAGAGCTTTATTTTTGTGGTATTTAATCACCTCTGGGTTTTTTATTTTTTCTTAAACAAACCACAAACCACTGAAAAAAATCTTTTTTCTTAGTTTTTGTTATAAAATTTTGTAAATAAATGATTTTTCTCCTTCATTGATGTGCGCTAATGAGGCTGCAGTGATGGGCACTGATAGGCTGCACTGATGGACACTGATAGGTGGCACTGATGGGCACTGATGAGGAGGCACTGGTAGGTGACACTGATGGGCATTGATAGGCATCACTGATGGGCACTGAAAGGCAGCACTCATATATGGCGCTGATAGGTGGCACTGATAGGCAGCACTGACTGGAACTGATAGGCAGCACTGACTGGCACTGTTAGGTGGCACTGACTGGCACTGTTAGGCGGCACTGATAGACAGCACTGATGGGCACTGATAGGCGGTACTGATGCACATTGATAGGCATCACTGACTGGCACTGATAGGCAGCACTGACTGGCACTGATAGGTGGCACTGATTGGCAGCACTGATAGGTGGCACTGACTGGCATTGATAGGTGGCACTGACTGACACTGATGGGTGACACTGAAAGGCAGCTCAGATGGGCACTGATATGTGGCATTGATGTGGCACTGATGGGCACTGGCAGGTGGCATGGATGAGCACTGAGAGCTGGCACTGATGGACACTGACAGGTGGCGCTGCTGGGGCTACACGTATCATCAGGGCACAATGATCATCAGTGCTCTGATGATCTGTGCACATGTCCCCTCCGAGGAATGCCGATTACCAGCTCTCCTCTCCTCATGAGCTGTCAGCGTGACAGCTCGTGGGGAGAGAAATGCCGATAACCGGCATTTCCCTGTTTACATGTGATCAGCTGTGATTGGACACAGATGATCACATGGCCGAGCTGACATCTTTGGCTCTTTCCGTGGATCGGTGATCCGCTCTGTCCGAGGGACACAGCGCACCGTCGATCACCACACTGCACGCACCAGGAGCCGCACATGCGCGGTTAGAATGGGAGGACGTCATATAACGTCCTCTTAGAATGAGAGAACCACCTTGCGTCCATCATATTACTATATGGCGGGCGGGAGGTGGTTAATACAAGAGAGGATTTTGCTCGCTTTAGAAACCGCAGCTTGGCATTGCATGCCATTATTAAGCTTGTGATCTACCAGAACTCCCAGATCCTTCTCCACCATTGATTCCCCCAGTTGTGCCCCCCCCTAGTATGTATGATGCATGCATATTCTTAGCCCCCAAGTGCAGAACCTTACATTTATCAACATTAAACCTCATTTGCCACATAGCTGCCCAATTAAACAGAGCATTGAGGTCGGCTTGTAAATTGAAGACATTCTATACAGACGTTATTCCACTGCACAGCTTGGTGTCATCTGCAAAGACTGAAATGGGATTTTTAATCCCAGACCCTTTATCGTTTCTAAATATATTAAAAAGTAAAGGTCCCAACACTGAACCTTGGGGTACACCACTGACAACCCTAGACCATTCAGAGTATGATTACCAGTAAAGGAATATTTACACCCTCAGCAAACTATACAACTGCTGTGCATCTCAGCAAGACAAGGGGGCAAGCACTGTTTAGTGATATACTATGTTTTTCAGGCCATAATTTCATCTGCCACATCTTTCTGTATAACAAATTATATATTTATATCTTTATTATGTATTACATACGCCTCCGTTAGATTGCTTTGAGTTCAAGTTAGTATACTGTTCATTGATAATTATCCAGCATGGCACAGGTCTTAGAATAGCAATTTCTTCAACAGTGGAGTCAGAGTGCCCTAACATAAACTCACCATCATAAGCCTAGTCCATGGCATTAAAGTTGAACATTTAGTTTTGCAGAAAAGAACATATAATATAATTACAGTGCTGGAGACTGTTCAGTACATGTAAAGAGACAATGTCACCTTATCCATACAGGACAAAGTGAGAGTGTCTCTTGAAAGGTCCCCTTCCCATCCCCCTTACCCTCAACTTGCTTAGCAAGCATTTCTTTCTCCATTGCAGCCAGGAAAACTATCCAGTGCCTCCAGGTATAAAAGAACATGTGATCTGCTCCCCTGTGCCAGTGCTCAGGCCTAGCGGCCAATCGCTAGAACCAAGACCTGTCACATGAACAATGGAGTAGCGTTGTTGTGCTGTCAGGTCACCAACACTCCAGGTTTTAGATTCCTGGCTGATAGAAAAGGAAAGCATAGGGTTAACCTTTTCAATGTGTTGCTACTCTTTCACTGTCCAATCAAGGGATCTTAACCTCCCTAGCGGTATGATTATTTCAGATTTTTGGTGCTGAAAGCGGTACCATTATTTTGCATGGAAATATGTAGTTTGTTTTATTGTAGGCTGTAATTTTTAGGAATAACTCACTGAAATCTGTCCGAACAAGAGTCTATTAAACATCCCGGGTATGATAAAATTTGAAACACAAAATCATAAATTATAATTTAATAAATAATCATAAAAAATAATAATATAATAATAATACATTTAATTCAATAATATAATCAAACCAAAAACACTGAAATTTGAAATATAGCGCCAAGTTCGCACATCACTGAGCAAAGTCGCAAAATCGTTTTCAGTGTCTGATGACGAAATTTCCCCACGAATCATTATCACTCAATTCTGCAAGTGGTTCTGATTTACTATCACTGTTCTCTAGCTGGTCTAAAACCACTTTTGACCTAAAGGGACGCTTTTTGGACGCCATGGACTTTTTTCAGTTTCTAGGCAGAAAGAACAGACAAAATGCAGACAGGGCACAGGACAAAACACTAGGGACAAAATGTATGTGAAATGGGTTGAAACAGCAATGTTTTACTATGTAAAATTTGTTTGGAAAAAAATTACATTTTCAAATTTCCCGCCGGCGGCGCCTGTACGTCCCGACGTCACAGGGACCGGAACACAGAAGCCGGTTGCCGGCATCGGCCGGAGGAGATGGCCGGGGACGCTGCAGGGGACACATCGCAGGAGCTCAGGACAAGGTAAGCTCTGCAAGGACTCCCCATGCAGCGCCGCATGGTAGGCCGAGTGTAGCTCGGGGTTACCGCTTTTGGTACTGACATTTTACCCCGAGCTACACTCGGGAATACCGCTAGGGAGGTTAACCAATGTGTACTGCTTTAACTTTAGTAGAGAAAAGGACAGTTGGAATCTGCTGTCCAATACAAATGCCTAGGTTAAAAAGTGGCTAAAAAGAAATAATTTTTTTTGGCAAGTAAATCAGTTCACATTGTATTTCAACTGTTATTTGTATGTTTACACAGTCCTAATTTAAAGAGACACTGGAGGTTATTTACTAAAACTGGAGAGTGCAAAATCTGGTGCAGCTGTACATGGTAGCCAATCAGCTTCTTACTTCAGCTTGTTCAATTAAGCTTCGACAATAAAACCTGGAAGCCGACTGGTTTCTATGCAGAGATACCCCAGAACACCATTGTCACCTTGCCCATGCAGTGACCTGGGGGGGGGGGGAGGGGTGCCACTTCCCTGGTCATGTGACAATGTTCAGGTCTAGTAAATGGCTGCTGGCTCCAGTACTGTCTCAAGGGGATAGACCACTTGTTCTCTCAAGCTAAAAAAGCCAGGTAGTGACGATGGCTGCAACATCCCTTTTTGGCCTCATGCATGGCAAGAGGCTGAAAATATGCCTAGGGTAATCCCCAAGCCCTGGAAACCACGGGTGCCACATATAGCTGGCCACAGATTGAATATCCGTACGCAGTTGGACTCACGTGAATGCTGATGCTTCTGTGCATTAGTGTTTTACCTGTGCATGCATGTAACGTGTATTTCCCAAACGCAAAAGTCCATGGTCAGAGCATATACTGTACCCTCATGAATGGGTAAATGTGAAAAATATTTCTAATGTAGTATTAACCTTCCTAGCGGTCTGATTATGTCAGTATTTCTGTGCTCAAAGCGGTACATCTTTTTGCATGGAAATATGTCGTTTTTTTTTATTGTAGGCCTGTAATTTTTAGGAATAGCTCACTGAAATCTGTCCGAACAAGAGTCTAGTAAACATCCCGGGTATGCTAAAATTTGAAACACGAAATCATAAATTATAATGTAATAAATAATCATAAAAAATAATAATATAGTAATACATTTAATTCAATAATATAATCAAATCAAAAACACTGAAATTTGAAATATAGCGCCAAGTTCGCATATCACTGAGCTTAGTCGCAAAATCGTTTTCAGTGTCTGATGACGAATTTCCCCACAAATCATCACTCAATTCTGCAAGTGGTTCTGATTTACTATCGCTGTTCTCTAGCTGGTCTAAAACCGGTTTTGACCTAAAGGACGCTTTTTGGACGCCATGGACTTTTCTCAGTTTCCAGGCAGAAAGAACAGCAAAAAATGCAGGCAGGGCACAGGACAAAGCACTCGGGACAAAATGTATGTAAAATGGTTTGATACAGTAATGTTTTACTATGTGATTTTAGTTTATTGAGTGAATGTCACTTTTTAACATTTTTAAATTTCCCGCCGGCTCCGTCCCCCGTACATCCCGACGCCGCAGGGAACGGAACCCGGAAGACAGATGCCGGCATCGGCCGGAGGAGATGGTGCTGCAGGGGGGACATCGCAGGAGCGCAGAACAAGGTAAGTGAAACAGGGATCCCGGAGCTACGCTACGAATGTAGCTCGGGTTACCGCTTTTGGTACTGAAAGTTAGCTACACTTGGGAATACCGGGAATACCGCCAGGGAGGTTAATCCCAAAACCAAGCATTTTAAATATTGCAGCTTACCAATTATTAGTTGTGGTGGCTGCATCCGTTTTTCTTTCTTTTTTCCCTGTTTTTCTGTTTTCACCAGGGAATATGTGGCCAGTAACACATCTCCTGTATTAGAGTGCCACCACTCTGGATGAAGGAGCACAGGGGGCACCTTTGGACATCAGCATTGTCAGTCTGGGGGGAGGGGAGTGCTAGAAGATTTAATTACACTAAGAAATTGAAGCTGAGCTCCAGCTAATACTTTATCATTGGCTACAGCAAACAGATTTTTTTCCTTTTGGGATAAAAGTTTTACATTAATAAATACAAGTGATCATTGAAAGAACCCCTGTCATTAGTAAGTGGTTTGTCTCCTTCCTTCAGACTCATACTTCTGGAAGACAGCTTGTTCTTTTGAAAAACAACAGACTTAATGGCTGAATCACCAGAAAAAAAAAATAGAAGAAATAAAATCCTAACAAAGAAAACTAATGTAGCCATCACATCTAAGAATTGTTAAGTTGCAATATAAGAAATGTTTGCTTTGGGTTTAATACTGCTTTAACAGATGTATGCCAAAGTCACATTATCTTCCTCTGATCAAAATAGATTTTGAATGGAGTTCTCAGCTCAGCTACTGTATATAGCTATACTAAGCAGCCTCGTTAACATAGCCATAGTACATTTGTCTTACTTTTGGCAGTATTTGGCTTTGTAAGTCGAATGCACACTGACCCAGCACAGAAAGTAGATGCCACATTAATTGTCATTGCATCCGGTACTGCCTGTCCACAGGGTTACAATGCTGTCAATAGATCAGTGCAAGGATTAACCCTGAAGCTTTTATCAACCACAACGTGGAAATGTTCAGTCATTATGGATAATGGTGATGGGCACTTATGTGATGAGGTGCGAGAGGAAGGAGGCTGGACGCATCGCACTGATTCTATACATCCAAACCACTAATGTATGGTTACGTACTACAAACTCCTTTGGGTGGTATTACTTTGAGAAGCCAGAGATATGGGTCTTAGATTCTAATGAAGCCATTCCCTCTGTACTTAGGCATAAGAATGCATTGTGTTCTACCTTCTAGAATATCAACTAGTTACAGGAGAAATAAATTGTGTTATTTTTCAAGGGTTAGTTCACCTATTCTTCACAAAAAAAATTGCCTATGCACATTAGGGGGGTCTGTAGA